CTGCCCATATAAACTTTTTGCATGCAGTTTAACAAAAGGTGCTAAACTGCGCAGGTCGAGATCCGGGGTACTAGAATTGCAGCTTGGTCCAAAGATGATCACAAGATGATCACGAGAAAATTTGAGGCCATCCAGATCTTAACTTCGCAGAGACACTGAAATAAGGATTCCAGCGAAGCGGAGGTGTTGTTATTTGTAATCTTGTCTTGAGGATCTGATTCAGATGAGGAATGCGAGAAATGCAAATAGCAACCTCTTCACTTCCACTTTTTTGTGGCCGTTCTGATTTCAAACTTCATACTTAACTTTTTTTTTCACAGAAGCCCTGAGAAAAAGCAGAAAGAAAACCATGAAAACAGAAGTAACTTGTTGTGTTTTTAAAACTCGCCAGTCATTGTGTTTTATGTCTGCACGGAATTCTGTGTAGTACATGCATATATTTATTCAATACAAACCTGACATCTTTTTATATCCACAGAACTCTCGGGTTCATCTCAAACTTTGACACTTTATAACAGCAATGACATATTGCGTGCTTGTCTATCTACTTTTTCTCTGTGGAGTCCTTCCAAAAGGTAGGAAACAGTAACCAGTGTTTCTCTTTGATGCTGATTGTTTGTTTGTTTTTATCATGTTAATGTTTGACTTCATGTCAGGATAAGGATAAAAAGAGAAAAGCTAAGAAAAGCTGCTTCTTTCACTGACTAATATTTCCTCATTCTCACATCTAACCGTTCATTTATTTTCTCCTGCAGCTCTAACAGCAGTGATCCAAACACAGCAGACTGTGCTGGCAGCAGTGGGAGAAGATGCTGAATTCAGCTGTCAGCTGTTGGAGACTAAAGACGTCCTTCAGGTCACATGGCAGAAAATCTCACATGATGGGGAGACAAATGTTGCCACCTACAGCAAGTACTTTGGTCAGAGAGTGAATGATGGCTTTACAGAGAAATTTAAGTTTAAACACACTGAACTACAGAACTGCTCCATAGTCATCAGGAATGTGACGGTGCAGGATGAAGGCTGCTATCACTGTCTGTTTATCACTTACCCTGAAGGCTCCTTCATTGGTAGAACCTGCCTCCGAGTCTATGGTAAGAACTTTTACTTTCTTCAAGCAGATTAGACTCAATCTTATAAAGATACTATAAAATGTGTCAGAAGCTGGTTTCTTCTTGACAATGTAGTCTTTGCAATATCTCCTGATCCTTCACAGAGCTGCATGAACCTGTTGTTGATGTCAGAGAGTCAAACTCTACTGAAGAGTGGGTTGTTTCCTGTTCAGCCACTGGTCGACCTGCTCCCACTGTAACACTCAGTGTCTCACAACAAGATCTCA